TCCTTCCTTCCTTCCTTCCTTCCTTCCTTCCTTCCTTCCTTAAGTATTGTTCCTTCTTTTGTTCGTTCCTTCAAGTGTTGTTCCTTAAAGTATCCTTCATTCCTTCCTCTGTTCCTCCATTCGTTCGTTCTTTTGTTCCTTCCTTCCTTATAATTCCTTTGTTCGTTCCTTAAAGAATCCTTCATTCCTTCCTTCCTTCGTTACTCCCTTCGTTCTTTCCTTCATCCATTACTTCATTCCTCCTTCCTCCGTTACCTCCTTCGTTCGTTCGTTCGTTCCTTCCTTCCTTGCTTCCTTCTCTTTCACATGTATAATCTTCCTTTTGCAGAACATGCTGTTTGTAAATTGATGAAAAACCCTAGTATTTAAATTTAAAACCAGTCTAAAGAACTTGTCTATAGTTGAAATTGTCTATAGTTTTTGACAGGAGCCATGTCTAGGGCCCCTGGTCGTAATTTAAAAAAGGGTCTACCAGTGATTCCTAAGAGTTCAGAGCCATATAAGAACAATACAGTTAAACAACAATGGAACAGTTTTAAAACACCCTGTTACATATTCATCTCCAGCAAGGTTAGCTGAGGTCAGATTCCAAGGCCGTTTTTCAGGCACCATTATCTAACCCTTTCAAGGTTAACACCCGCTTATGACTCTTTCAAAAAGGCAAAGTCCAACATCCAGGTTCCTCTGACCTTAACCTAATTCAGAGCTGCAGCTTGATTCCTCCCAGTGTCTCTTTTCTGCCACCTAGTGGAGAACATGTTTTATCCATCTTCTGAGAAGTGAGTGAAAGGATTTCTTGTTTTTCAGCTGAGAAGTTGGTAAATAAAAAAATAGAAGAGATCCAGCAGAACGTGGACATGGACAAGAGCATGGAGGGAGCTTACCTCACGCACCTGCTGCTCAGTGAACAGATGACGGTCACTGAGATCCTGGGGAGCATCACGGAGCTCCTCCTAGCAGGAGTAGACACGGTAGGATGTGTCAGCTGACTCAGCACAAGTGTTTAAAATCAGTCTAATAAAATCTTACAATTTGTTTAAATAAAATATCTCTTTAACTCATGTCTTCTTTTTTTATCAAAGCACTAGGAGCTCCTTGCACTTCACACTTCTTCTGCCTCTTCTTTCTTTCAGACTTCCAACACCATCTCCTGGTCGCTCTACCACTTGGCGAAGGAGCCAGAGATCCAGGAGCAGTTATACCAGGAGGTGATCAGTGCCTGTCCTGGAGACAAGGTGCCGAGCAGTGAAGACATTAACAAGATGCCGTTACTGAAGGCCGTCATCAGAGAAACGCTCCGGTTAGAGACAGATTTTTATATTTATTTATTTGATGGGTTTGTGTTTTTGTCTGCATTTATGTTGCCTGGTGAAGGTCTGACATCCTGACTAGAAGTAGACCAATACATCGGACATAATTTTGATGATAGTAGCATTTTATTTTTATTATTGAATTGGCTTCTTCCGATATGTTCATGTGTCCGCCCATTCATCCATGCATTCAGCATGGAATAGGCAGGGCTCTGCTGCTTTCAAAACCCAGAGAGCCATTTTGCCCTGAATGCAGCTGAAAAACAGTCAATGAGAGCCAAAGATATTACATGAGCTTTTTGATTAAAAGACAACTCATTTTGGTTAAATATTTCCCGTAGTAAAAGTATTTAAATCTCAAAGAATTGAAAACACCTAAACCTTTATTTCAGTTATTAGAATAAAGAAAAACACATGGAGTTTGCACAAAGAGGATTTGTTGATGTTTATGTAAAACAAAAAAAAAGACCTTTAAACATGTTGATTCTTTCAAATGTAATTTTATTGAGGGTATTCCATTTCATTAAGCTATGAAAGAACTGCTAAAGCCTCTAAAACTGGTTTGTTATTTCACTGTTCTCAGAACCTACTTGGTTCTTAGTCAATTTTAGCCAGGATTAAGAGCCATTATAGGAGGTCCAAAGAGCCACTCATGGATCTGGAGCCGCAGGTTTTGGACGCCGTATAAAACAACAGTATAACCAGTTTTTGTTACTGAACCAAAATGAGAAATCAGATAACATTCTGTTGTCCGATTTCCATTGTTAGATTAGTTCCTGTTTCAGCGCACTGACTTTCTGCAGAAGTAGACACTGATCTGTCAGGCAGCACTAGAAGGAATAGCAAATGAGGAAGGGAGCTACAAGTAGCCTGGAATACTAAAGGGAAATGGGAACCAAGAAGAGGCCATAAGGAAAGCTGCAACAGCCAAATACCTGCAACTAGTAAGGCTTGTTCTGAGAAGTCAGCTAAATGGTAGGAACAAAGTCCAGGTTATTTAACAGCTATGCCTGCCAGCAATCAGATACCCTGCTGGAATAATAAGTTGGCCAAAGGAGGAATGGCATGTTAAAACATGAAAGCCACTAACAATAGCAGGAAATCCAGTATCCACAGACTATACTCTATATTAGTGAGCATCACAGCCACCATCGAAGCTCCAAGAATACATCAGGAAAACGTCCCCAAGCCATGAAGGACATAGGGAATGTCTCATATGGTGGAAGCTGGAAATTAAGGAACTGGATGAACCATCATGGGAGGAAAAAACCTGCATGGGATTTTCCACTAACAGATAGCTGAAGCGGCTAATACGATGAAATCCTACCAATGGTTGGAGAGGGCCGGGCTGAAGGCCAGCAAAGAGAAGCACTGATCAGGGCAGCGCAGGTGGAAGAGAAAGCAATATGGGCTCCAAGAAAAAAAGAAACAAAATGGGAGCTTATATCAGGGATCAGTTGCAGGAGCTTTCCCTGGATCTGGGAACATTGGGGGCTGAGCCCATATATGGCAATTTAACTGGGAAAAAGGCACCTTGTTTAAAACCAAATACTGCGGTAAGTACAGTCCACCCTAAATATGAACATCTAGAGACAACATTTGTCTTAATCTGTAAATATCAGATCAACAGATTGCGGAAAATTTTTGGAAAATTATTATCACTGTTAAATGAAATAAAGAGCAGAGTTAAAATAGTTTTAAATTCTTGCTGGTACTATATAAAAAAAATGAAAATGCAATTTTACTAAATAGAAACATATTCTAACAGAAATCAAATAAAATAGTCTTTTATTTGGCCTTTAAGCAAATAGTTTTGATGATATTAAATGAATTAAAATAGAAAAGTTTAGTTTCTTATTGTTGAAGATGATGAGTTAAAGAAAAGGTTGGCTGCTTTTCTGTGCATTATAAATAATCTTATACCAACCCGCAGGATGTTTTAAAATTAAGCACTCAATTTTATGTGTTTTTGAGTCACAATGATGTAAAAATAAAGAAAACTACAACTTTTCTTCTTAGCAAGAAGATTTATTTATTTAGCCCCGTTTGCAAAGAAAATGAAACCTTTTAACTCTAGTATATGTGAAATATCTTTATAAGCTATCTATAGCACAATTCAGCACCAGGACAATTCAGAGTGCTTTACATAAATAAAGAATAAAACAGAAGAAAATAAAAGCAGAATTAGAGCAAATGAAGATAAAGACATGATAGAAGGGAAATAAAAACTAGCTGGACCACAGCCTTAAACTAAAATACCTCAGTTAACAGTTTAACTCCAACAGTCAAATGCAGCTCTAAATTAATGGGTTTTTAACTTTGATTTAAAAGAACTCAGGCTTTCAGCACTTTTCCAGTCTTCTGGGAGTTTGTTCCAGATCAGTGGAGCATATAAACTAAATGCCGCTTCTCCATGTTTGGTTCTAGTTCTGGGTGAACCGACTAGGCTTGAACTAGAGGACGTGTCTCTAACACTGTGCATTCTCTGCTCTCCAGGCTGTATCCGGTAGTTCCAGGAAATGCTCGTGTCACAGCTGAAAATGAGATCGTAGTTGGAGATCATCTCTTTCCAAAAAAGGTGAGACCCATTTTTAACATTCCCAGATTCACTGTTGGTGCACAGATATTTCAATTTTAATATTATTTTTAATGATTGATTTTCAGATGACTGACACAAAGTAAAAAGAAAACTAACAAACTGACTTTAGGATAAAGTATTACCTTTATTTAGATTCATATAATGTATCTGCTGTAGTTATTATTTTGGAATCTATTACTTAAATCAAATGTTTTGGTGTAAATTAATCAATCAGATGTATCTGAGTCAGCATCAGTGGTGAAATCAAAAGAGAACCATTCAGTTCTATACAACAGTTAAAGATTGAGGTGCAGGATCTCTATCAAAGGAGTCCCAGAGTTATATCCAGAATAAATATTTCATTTTCTTACTGTTAATTTTTGGATAAAGACCTTAATGAAACGACACATTGACCTTTTGAATATTTCTTTCTCATAGATCCTCCGCTTCTGTTTGAATAAGATGTAAATGTTTCCTTGTATAAAGATGTTTTCTCTACTTCCTTTGAACTTTTTAATTTGTTTGTTTTACATGTTTCTGAAATTAAGTTCTGGATTCTATTCTTTATATTAATCACTTTAAATTCATTAAATCCTAATATAACATCATTTAAGTGGATGTCATGGGTGAAACTGTTAAAACTATGAAGCTTTAGCCTTCTAAGGGTTAACATAACTACTAATCTTCAACAAAAATGTTCTTTAGATGTTGCATTAGCCTGAGTGTCGCTAAAATAATTACTATTCCTGGTAAGAACTGAACCCCAGTCGGCCTCGGCTGACGGCCGCTCACACTGAGCCTGGTTCT